AATTGCTTATGGTCTTCAGTTGGAGATAAATCTCCGGGGAAACTGCGTCGTCTGGCGACAAAGATGAGTGGTCGGCAGGGGAATCCGGGCTCTGAGGTTCCCGGCTTGGAATGTGGTTGTCTTGCTGTTCCTCATGAGTTTGGATCGAGGCAATGTCCTCCTCAGGAGTTGGTAGAACTGTCAGAGGGTGCAAGACATAGAGACACCGGTCTACTGGAGCACGGGGATCACAAACACAGGTACTTCCTGCCAAGTGAGTAATGATGTTTATGGTAGTAACAGTCGTAATACCATCTGTGATTATATGAGCCCGGTGAGCATCTCGGAGAATATCCTAGTAGTGTTACATACCAACGCAAATATCTTGAGGGTCTTGAAGACCCCGGTGAAATAGATCTAATGGAGTAGCGGGAGGGAGATTGAGAGTAATGCGCTTGTTAATATTTTCATGGCAGTGAGTGATAAGGTGACCTGTAGTAATGGTCCCTGGTTGATCTATAACGAGGAGCACGGTGATGGCTGCCAGTGTATGATGAGGTTGGTGACAAAGATCCAGGAGAAGAAACAGAACGGTTTGGTGTGAGCTATGGTGTTCAGACTCGTCTTGACTTGCGCTGTGCCTCATGGTGTGAGCTATGGTGTTCAGACTCGTCTTTGCGCTATGCCTCAGTCTGCATGGAGCAGCTGAGAGGGGAAGAGGGTGCCACCTGCAATGAGGTGGGTGGTAAAGAAACAGTCTCCATAGACTGGTTGTAGCTCAGCTGAAGCACCGGTGCCACTGGAGTAGGTGCCGCTAGACTAGTGTAGCCAGACAGGAACCCCCCCTTGTAACATCCATTTTTGCTTGCCTGGAGCATCCAGGGCACACAGAGCAGAAAGCCCAGGCTGTGTGACTGTGAATGGCTGTAAACAGAGATACGCCAATTGCTGACCAAGAGGCTGCCAAGGAGTGCCCTTGACTCAAACCCATATTGATACGAACACACATCCGTCCGCGGGGGAAGGAATCTCTCGCCCAGTAAAAAAATGTCTAGTATTCACAATTTAGTTATCTCTCTCTTGCAAGTGTAAATTAACTTGAAACTTGCTTGTAAGAACTGGCGCCACAAAACGGACCAGTACAATTCGGCATCTTAGATAAGAAAGAGGATACGGGCCCCCAGGGGCATATAGATGGGTCCAGCAGCACATTTTCTCTGAGTGTCAATCTACCATCTATCTGCTGGTCGGGTTAGGTGTTTGATCTCCCGAGGTTCCAGAGGGGACGCCCACCTCGTATTCGTCTTTCCTAGGAATTGAGAGACTGGCCCTGGCCTGACACGCTGGCCCACCTCGTATTCGTCTTTCCTAGGAATTGAGAGACCGGCCCTGGCCTGACACGCTGGAGTCGAGAGGCACAGAAAGGGGTAAAAATTGTACCTGGATGTGGTCCTTTGTTTAAGTATATATATAGTGTTAGAGCTCTTTAAAGATTAAGCTGTCACTTGGTACCATTATTTCTATTTTCTATCTTTACCTTTTTCCTGTGATCATTTTTTTCCTGTGATCATTTTTAAGACCTATATATATCTATAGATATATAGATATATAGATATTTGCTAGCATTTAAGAAATAGAGCAATAGCCATTGTAACCATATGCTTTTATAAGTCTTTTAATAAACCTGTAACTGTTTAAGCTTTAACCTGACTCCTCCAGTTGCTGTAACAGAACCAAGCACAATTTAAAAGAACTTCAGCCGGTCATAAAGGGACAGACATAGGGAAAGCTTGGGCGTTTGGATCTGTGTCACTCCCAGGTGACAAGATTCGTTGGGGCACCTTTTCAGCCTTTCCTAGGCTGCCCGCTGCGAAGGAACCCCTGTGTTCTAGCAGCTAAAATCTAAGTTGTAATAAGCTCTTCCTATATAACGGGGTGTCTGTTGGCCTGCTGGCCACCCTCTGCGACGGGACCCCGGTCCTAGCAGTAAAGACACAGACGTTAAACCTTTTCTCGGAAACATACACACACACACTGCCCTGACCATCGGCTGACAACTAGTTAGTTGCGGGACTGGAGGATGCAGTGTCGGTGCCAAGGGCTGTGGAGTAACAGTGCCTGCCTGTGGCACTGATGCCGATGCCTCTGGCACCGAGGAAAGCGGAGGTGCAGTTGCCGGCACCGCTGATGTGGATGCTGGCACAATTGCACTCATCTGCACATGCGCTGGATAAGCCGGTGCCAGGGCAGCCATTGTTGGCTTCAAACTGGCCATTGTAGCTGTTGCCGGTGCCGAGTCAGCTCGCAGCCCTGTCAATGGGACGCCTTGACAAAACGTGAGAGGTGCCCGATCTGTCTCCGACACTCACCCTCTCAGAGGGGTTAGAGGTCCTGTGAGGAGACCCTTGAGCCGGTGCACGAGCTTCATGCGTCCCTGAGGCAGTGGAAGACAGCTCAGTCCTTTCAGAGGTCTGAAGGGCTTTGTTAAATAAAAGCATCCTCAGCCTCAGCTCCCGGTCATGCCTGGCACGGGCGGTTAATTAGACCCTCTCCAAGGCATTTTATACACCACGAGTGCCCGTCCATGGCATCCTGGCACTGGGTGCATTTCTTAAAGCCAGGTGATCCTGGCATAGTCTTTATCTATTGACTGAAACTTAAAACTTGAACTATGACAAGAAAAATTCTTTTCTTTTTTAATAGAACTGTAACTACCAAGAAAACAACTAAGCTAACTCTAATAAACAGTAAACTGAGGAAAAACTCTATTTCTAAAACTCATCTCCCGTTCTTCTCAGACAGGAGGGGGAGCATGTCCTAACTCCATCTGTGGCTGCGGACAGTTGAAGGGAAACTGACAAGACCGGACCGCACTCAGCTGAGCGGCGCAAGGCAGCAGTCGTGCATGCGCGGTCCGATAGGGCTACTACTACCAAAAATCCTCCGGTTTGCTGAGCCGGGACAAGCCCAGCACCTCAAGTGGAACACCCACAGGGACACTACTTGAGAAAGAACAAGATAAATATGATGGGGGTATCAAAGGTGTTGGGTCACTCTCCAATTCCACAGAAAGAAGATAATAGAAAGGAGGCCATTTCTTTGAGCAAGGGAGGATGGCAACATGTACTGCCTTTTGTCCATATGTTTATAATCATTGGTTTCTACCACCCATTTGCTTTTGCGTTCAGCGTTCTTTTTGTGTTTCCCAATTTCTCTTCTCTTTTCCCCATTGGTTGTTCTCCCCATCTTCATTCCACTCACATTTTCCTGTTTATACCTATGGCTCCTACTTCCTCCATCATTTTCTTTTCTATAATCCATTCAGATCCTCCTTAATCTCATTCCTCAAAATGAAGAATGGACCCCCCTGGCTAGGCCAATCACAACTTGGAAAGAGGCTCTGTTACACTATCCCATGTGGCTGACTGAGCATTCTTTGTTCTCGCAGTGGAGATTACTTATTCTCACTGCAGACTGGTGCTCTAATAGCCTTGGTCTATAACTCCCGTTATTTTGAAATAAGGGGATGGTTATTTTGAAATACTAACTCCGCTTCCCACATAAAATGACTCTTATTCACAACAGGGGTAGTGTGGATGTTCCAGTACTACTATTTTGAAATAACTACTCCCCAGAGTCATTCAAAGTACAGTAAACTTCCGATAATCCGGCACCTTTGGGACCCAGGGGGTGCCGGATTATCAGATATGTCGGACTATCGGAAGGGGGGGCTATGAGGGGTCTGGCGTGGGGGGGTGCCACCCCAGACCTCTCATAGCCCTCCCTTCCAATAGTCCGGCTCTGCCCCAGGCATCCGCCTGCTGCTGAAACTGACCAGCAGCGGCTGAATTGGAGACGCCTGGGGCTGGACTGCTGCCGGGTTGGTCGGGGTAACGCCGACCCTCGGCACAGCAAGACCAACCAGGCAGCACCCCAGCTGCTCTTGGGGACGCCTGGGGCAGAGCAGCTGGGGTGCTGCTGGGTTGGTCCCGCAGCGCCGCTCCTTGGCGCTACTGGACCAACCCGGCAGCACCCCAGCTGCTCTGCCCCCGCGGCCTGAATCAGCCCGCGGTCGG